AATCTGGGTGATCAAAAAATTTCGGATTTTAAGTAAAATAATTTCGTCTTCTATGAAAAACTATTTCGACTTTTTTCCCCGAAATTACAATTTCGGGACCCCAAAATAATTTTGCGTGCAAGTATAATCTATACTAAGAATTTTTGGTATCGAATAAAACAAGTTCATATAAAAAAATAAATATGTATTATGCTTCAAGCTCTAAAAGTTACTTTTGAAATCTAACTTGCAATTGACTCTTTATAGAACTTGACCAACTATACGTATAATAATATTCTTTATATTTTCTAGTATAAATATCAAGAGGAATATTAGAATTACATTATTTATAAATTTCAATTCATTTAATACACCATTGATTAAATTGTTCTCGAGTCTCAAGATTTTTTACTTTATAATAAGTTAAACTTAAAAATTTATTATCATCTGGAATATTATCATTTAATAAACTGTTCCAGGTAAGTCGTGTATCTGACAGTTCCCTTTCTCTAAAATTTCTCCAAAGTCTTTGTATAACCCTTGCACATCCAAACTCTGTTCATGGTCTTGAATATCCATAATTGATTTGTGATCTTGAGCATTCATAATTATAATGATCTTTTATTAAATTGAATTGACTTGCTTTTGGATCTAAATTAACATTGATATGCATAAGTTTCATATATCGAAAACATATTGTAGTACTATCTTTATATGATCTACCTCTGCTATAATTATATTTATCAAAATTCGTATCTTGAATATATAAAGTGTGAAGACAAAGCTCATGATACATAGATCTTGTTCCTTGCCATGAACATAACTCTTAAAGAGCAATTCTAATACTGAATAGGTGTTTCTTCTTTAAAGATCATACTAATGGAATTATAAGATCTCTCAGCATTGATAACTCTATTAAGAACATTATGCTCACTAGTTATTTCAAGTTTTCTATTTATATTATAATATACTTTTGACATATTTAATGATTATATGTTTTATATCGTATTTAGAGATTTGCTAAAAACAGTTACTTTGTGACTAGACCTATTGGATTTTGGATTTGATATAAATACTTAATACCAGATTCAATTTTAGAAAGATTGAATTCTCGAACCATTTTTTCAAGAATGTTGTATTTTGTAAGGAATAGATGTCAATAATGAATCATTATTTTCTATTTGTCAATATCTATAAGTAAAGTTTGGTGTTAAAAACACATATATCTTTAGAGCTATGAAGGGTTTCAGTCATTATATTAATAATGCAATTTACCGGATCATCAATTCAAACAGTAAGGCTGAGTTCTAATATTGACTTATGCTGAATAATAAATTTTGCATATGTTAAAAATATGATAGGTACGAAGTATTTGACTTATAAACAAGATACATATTTGTTATGATAGCAGAACTAGTATCAAGATACTTAAAATTTGTTGTAAAAAAATTACGAGTAGTATATTTGTATTTATATAGAATCATTTATGTTGATATTTTTTCTTTGCAATAAGTTTATTTTGGAAAAAATGGTATTTTGTGCCTGTCTTAACTAGTTATGTACAACCGCTTATGATGATTGATGGAACATATGAAATCAACTGTGATACACCTTCATAATTACCACATAAATGGGAAATCTATTTTAGACATATAATATATTCTCGAATATAAGTACTAAAATTGATTCAAGCACATGAGTGCCCTTATTTCATAAGTAAATTGCACTGGTAAATAGTTGTTGGAAGAAGTATATATTAATAATGAACCATTTTGATTATAATTGATATTTAACATGTAATTTTCTTTCAAATACAAATTATAATTGATTAGATAATTTGTGTAACTTGACATTTCTGCTAAAATAATTAACTTATTATATGATATGTATGTCATAGAATGAATTCGAATGTAATAGAATCTACATGCATCATTTGGTCATACGATACACTGATTACCAAATTTAATTAGTACCCCTTACACCTTGTATATTTATATAAAAAATTTCTCATCACTTTTTGCTTGTCAGTCTTTATTTATATTTATTGCAGAACTAAAATGATATATTATACCATTCACATATAAGGATATTAATATCCAAATTCGAATAATCAACTCGAGATATATATACATATCCTTTGTTCTTGTACATACACTATCTTTTCCTAATCTATTCTTCAGTGTGATATGAAAAAAATAACAAAAAGTGATAAAAAAAAAATACAGTGAACTTCTTTACCTATATTCAAGTAACTTATCATGGAACATATATATATTTTTTGTTCTTGTACATATACTGACTTTTCGTATATATATTGAATTTTTTCGAGATATGAAAAAAGAAATAACAAGACACATTAAAAGAAGAGTATAGTGGTGCTGATGAAAACTTTAGTTGCAACTTTATTACATAACAAAACTAATATTTTTCTTATCACAAATTAATATGTAAAATGTCTATTGAATTATATAATAAAATTACAGATTTTTAACAACTGTTGAAGACAAAAAAAATAAATGTGATATCAGTTATGTATTTTTGAATAAAAGAAGATCGATGGATCGAACAGAATGAATTGAAGAAATTGTAGAACAAGCTGTAAATTTGGCTAGTAATGTATTTATAGATGGAACCCTACACCAATTACGAATTTTTCAGATCTTACTTCAGGTTAATTTATATAAAAATTTATTTTTAATATTTTTTATATGATGATATTGTGTGATTTTATTCATAATACGAATGCTGAATAAATAAATTACAAGTTAGTTTGTTGACTTATATTCACTTATTCTATTTAGCTCGCTTGTCAATAGACACTTACTTATAATGGAGGAATGTTTAAACTATAGTCTGTTACACAGGATATAACATTCTATTAGATGCAATAGCATCCTCATTTCATGAGACCTGTTATGAGAAAAATCTATTGCCATGTCAAGAGAATGTTTAAGATATAAATTATTATATAGTTAATTAATATCATACAAAGTTTTATCATACGTGATGGCCACACAAAGATATAAACTTTACACATGCACTGATAATTTTGTGTTATTTTAATGATGAAAATTTTTATATTCCTGAAATCTAGTATACTATATATTTTTTTTAGTTTAATAATGCCTTTGAAGGTGTTAATAATTTGTATAATATGAGGGCAATCAAAATAGATAAAGAAGCATCTTTTGACTCAGATTAGATTGAGAATAATATAGATGTGTTGAAGGATAAACTTAGAAAAGAATTCACCTCCCTTTATCAATATTTATATTTGGCTGTAGATAATATATCCATTCATGAATTAACTTGGAAAAACCCTTTAGCAAGTTAAGTTATAAGTGATAAGTCAGAAATTATAGAACAATTACCAACAAATTTAAAAAAGGCATTTAATGTATGCTTGTGAACAATAGCCTTATCTTTAACTTTAATAATGAAGTTAGCATCTCTGATACATATTTAATAATATTAGAAACCGGTTTGTCAGATGAAACCTATTCTTATGCTGAAGATTAAAGAAATGTGTGAGAAATTTGTAGCAAGCTTTGTTGATTGCAATTATCAGAATATAGTACTAGAAAAATTAATCCATAATGGATTTTGGAAAGAATCGGAAAAGAAAATGTCAGATATTATAAAAGAAGTTTTTGTTCTTTTAAAAGATATTTGGATTAATCCTGTATTCAATTCTGATCTTGCAAAATTGTTAAATGAAGGGACCTACCAATTAACAGTTATTTTTTTGTCAATTCGGGCAATATTAAAAAATTTACCTTTTAGGTTATCTTCATTTATTAGCACATCGGAATGACAAAGTATTGCTAGTACTAATAGAAAAGGTGAAGGACATATGGGAAGGTGACCTAATATAATTTATGTGATAAAATATCTCGATGTCTTCTTTGAGATTATGTATCTTGAATGTTCTCGACTACATTACACTCAACAAAAAAAAATGGATGACGAGATAAAACTGTGGCGTGAGTGTAATGATGATATGTATTATGTTCGCAAAGCTCTTAAACTAGAAAAAGAACAATTTGGAATAATTGGAATACAGGTAGTAGGAAATATGTTACATTTAAATGTTCTTGTTAAGGATAACACTAATATCTATAGATATTATCATATACAATCAGCTGAGATCCCTATACAAGTATCAGATGCAAACATTGTAACTAACTTTATAGAAACTCTATTACTTTTACGTAATATATTAATTACAAATATATCCCTGTTATGCCATGGTTCTGTATCCCAATCTCAAAGATTAGTGGAAGGGAGTACAACAGTTACTACACCACGAGATGATTATCCATAGATTTTTATTTATCCTGTATTTTTTATCCTATATTTTTATCATATATTTTATTAATAAAGATTTTTTGGTTAGAAGAACGTACAACGTATCATGTGATTTTTTGTGTAATGTATATGTGTAATTTTTCCGAAATAATTTTCTTGGCAAAAGTGATCGGCGTTACAATTTGTAACGCGCACATTCCAAAAATTTGGATCATTATATCATTATCAAAGTTCAGAATTTATAATGACGTACTTATTTGATCGAACACCAAATATAGCTCAAAAGACAATGTAAACTACCTTTATTATTGGTAAACTAAATACATATTCGTCTTCAAATTTTATGATTCCACGTTAAACATCATTTTTATTTTTAGAACAGAGAATTTTTTGGGGTCCACCACGATTTACGAATATATTTGTACTTAAAATGAGTAGGCTTGTCTACGTGATAATCTTCTTCAAATATATCGTCAAAATCATGATGAAATGTTTCCAGATTTTCTATAGTTTCACAAGTTTTTTCATACATGTCCTGCACAACATATCATGTTAAAATATTAGTGATATAAATTTTTCCGATGACAGAAATAGAATCAAACTTACCATGACTAACTTGATAACGTTTATAGCAGTTTTCAGTTTTCCGATATCTCGAAGTCTTATGGGCAATTCAAACTTTGGTCCAGGAAGGACAATATAAAAACCTTCCACTAAATCCTCAACTAACAATTGGCCATTTGTGCCACCGAACTGCAAAAAAGGAATTAGGATACTTTTAGCTTGTTCATAATTGAGATTATATTCTAGTAATCCGTTCAAAATCGATTGATTTATTCGAGCGGAACGGCATCTATCACCAATGGTCTTATTCGCTATAGCTTTTGCGGAAAATTCCCATTCTCCAACATCAACCCCTAATGCTGATATGAAGCGAACATCACATTTACGTCCCTTGGTGTAATCTGTACTCCTGCTCAAGGGGCAAAAAGATTCCCCCCTAAATGAATAATTTAAAATTTTAGAATGGCTATATAGTAGGAATCATAAACAAAATAAATTTATACAAACCATATAGAATATACTTTAAGGTTTTTGCTCAGTCCTTCAACAATGTATGCACATGCTTTTAAAATTACATCAATTTCTGTGTGTGTGCTTTCCGGAGTAACATCCAAGATATTCACTTGATCTTCGCTCTTGTAAATGCTGAATACATTGAATAATAAGAATTGGATCCACAAAAAAAATAAAGACCAGGTAGTTCTGAATAACTCACAAGTCACCATATATTTTGCTAATCTTATATAAAAAACTATTTTTTTCGGATTTAATACGAGTGTCCATGCAGTATTTGTGCGCCTGATCTATTTTTCCTTTACGTACCAACTACAGGGAAAAGCGAATTAACATGCATAAACATAGAAAACAAGTCAAATTTATGAAAAATAAAACCCATACATCCTCAATTTTCAAAACAAACGAGCTCTCTTCGGTTGCCATCTCGGGAATTCGTAACATAGATTCATAATCTTTTATAATGAATTTTCTGTCATCAATACAAAACCATTTCTTCATGTGAGCGGACAAATCAATTATATTTGATGCACCATAGCGCAGTATAGCTTTCTTAATGGCTGTTAATTTCTTCCTTTTTTTGGTTGTTCTTGCATTCTCAGATATCTTGTTAGCATAGATATCCCCAACGTTCTGACCCGAAGGCAAGATCCAAATTTTTGGACCGTTAGATGCAGAGAGAAATGAATCCTCTGGAGGTATATCTTCATCGTCAGTCTCTTGAGAGGAATCATCTGATGATATTAAATTCAGACGATTTGGTTTTTTAATTTTGATGCCGTCAGATGATGTATAAGCTAATGTTAAATATTTCTGCTAATGGGTTAGAATAATATAAAAATAACGTTTTAATATTACAATTAATTTCCGAAATAAAAGAATATTATTAAACAATTGCTTACATCATCATTTTGAATATCTTGATTTTCATCAAAGTGGTCGTTCTCTTGATTCTCTTGAGTAACCAACTCATCATTTAGTTCATCACTATTAGAAGATCCTTGTGAAGAATTTTCAGGAGCATCGCAATCTTCATTTATTATTGATTCACCATAAAAATGACTATAATTCGGCACAACAGTTCTCCCACTTCTTGTTCTATTTTCGGATTCAGTTTTACACTTGATTTATGTGATAGAATGGCAAAAATATCAATTGGTTATTTTTATCATATATAATTGTCGGTGTTCAGTTATCTATTGTGAAGGAAGTAATAAGTAAATAATGTTGCTTGATCTCACCCTTTTTGATGTCTCCTCATCGACCTGCAAGTCATGTCCACGTTTCTTGCTCCTGTTGATAAATCTATTCTGGATTACATTTATCTGGTTTGAGGCATTTTCGGTTGCCTGGACTTGTTGTCTTGTCTTATTGAAAGAAAAAGAGCCAATTAGCTTTTCCGTAAATGAAACATTAATTTCCTTCCGAACAACAGCTCTTTATGCTTATTAGACCTACAAATACCTCAATTTGGTCCAACTTCTTTTCCGATAACTTTGTGTTCTCTTCGATTTGCTCGAGCTCGACCTTATTCCAGAATGACTTTACAGACTCCCATTGAGCTTGCTGTATAAATAGAAAAGAAATATGAAAGTATATTGAAGAAAATATAAAAATACTAAAAAGCGGGTCATTAGGGGTTGTGAACGAACGAGTTGTTCTTGGAACTAAGACGTGTTGTCTTTGGCCTTCGCACAAACTTAGGATGGAGCCCACCAGAGATAGTCTCCATAATCTAACCTGGCGTGTTGTCAAGTCGTTTAGGTGGTTGTTTTGACTGGTAGTGTCCAACTCCTTCCCTATCCCCTCGCCACTTTCCTTTCTTTTTAGTAATATTACCTTAGATATTTCATCTTTGCTTAAAGCAGAAGCAACCTTTCCCCACTTTCTATTTGTAATAGCAACATGCGAAACAAACTTTGATATAAGAGTATGTTCAACGCACTTATTAAACGTAAAGTCATCTTTTGTTCGGCGAAAATTCAAGATGGAGAGAAGATTGAACCTTTCTGGATTCAAAGCCGTTTCCCAACTCTCAAACTGTAAATATAATTTAGAAGATATTCAAGACAAGAAACATTTAATCACTAAAACTCACATTTTTTTCGAGATCGGTATCGGTAGGCATGGTAAAGTTCTAAAATCGATTTTATTAGAAATATTGTAGGCCACTATAATGATCTTATGTAACAGTATAAATAATCAAATTCGCGTGGGTAGAAGCGTAAATCAGAATTCGTAACACATTCACATGATACTGCATATACATCCGAATTTAAAAATGAAATATCGCCGATAGCGAGCTAGTGTCACGACACTTAATTGGCAATTCCTCATATGTATCACACGATTTTTGTTTGTTACTTAATTGAGATGCAATACGAACCTATTTCGGAATAAATGACGCTTCAAATACACGTCACGGGCAATGAGAACGTGCAACGTAATACGTAGAGGCAAAGCCTCATGATCCTTGGATCGCCCCTTCGGGCCTGCTCTGCAATAAAAAATAGATAATCTAAGTCGCGCAATGTGTAACGATAAATCGAATCTTTTAAACCGGATGTACAAAAAATTGCTTCGCATATAGCTAAAATGACAGATCAACGAAAAACATATGGATTCAGTCGATGTGCAATTATTTTATTATAACAAAATAAAAAACATTGCCCGTAGTAAGGCAGATACAAAAAAGAAATTTGCGAAATACATATGGCTGTTACATTATTCATGAAATGTACGGATATTATCCAATAAAAAATCTATTTATTCTTTGCCAAAAATCTCCCCAAACTACTAGCACCAATTTGTTCTCTTTTATGCATTAACTCAAAAATTACTTTATCTTTATCTTTTTCATTTTCAATATTATTGATTAATTCATAGCTATACATCCAAGTTACGAAATAGTATTCTTCATCCTTAATAAATGTGGATGGTATATCCATATTAGTTGTCGAATTTCTAAAAACCATACCATCTGGAATATTAATTGGTTTGTCATTTTCTTCATTTACAAAAAATACCCTTGTGATATCTTCATTCAATTTTTCGATCTTTACTCAGAAGTTTTTATTGACAATGGTATAGACTTCTGATTTACCTCTCAAATATGAAAAAGACATTTCAGATATCACTATTATAGGGAAAACTGCTTATTATTCCATGGTTCTATATGTATAGGCACTATATGCCCGCGAAGCAAAATTCATCAAATATGAGTATATCTACCATGAATAAAAACATACCTCTAAAAAATTATGGGAAGATAAGAAACAAACCCTTCTCAAATTCTGTTTATTTATATTGATTCAATCAATCCGAAACTCATTGGAAGGATCTTGTCTTTATCAACAGAATCTCATATGTCTTACCCCATTGGGCCTTTTAACACAGCGGGATCTTTGAACCTGTTATGATTTAGCCTCCATAAAAAGTGTTGTCATATGTAACTAAACGCCAAGGTGTGTAAATATGCAAAGTATTAAGTCATAGACACATGAATGAAACCCCTTTGAGGTGACTATCACACGAAGTTGGTTAATCGCAATGACGATCCGGAATTGCGGAGATTCCAAAATCCTATAATTATCATTTTCTGATATCAGTACTAATAGAAATCAATGTGCTCTTTACCCTTATATCCTTTTCAAGTCTTTTCGCATGTTCTTATCACAAAGCATATGTAGTATAGAAGTATTTCCCAGGCTAAAATAAAACGAAAAAAATACGTAAACGGTTATCTATGCTACACAAGAATGGTACACGAATTTCCATATAGAAATTGGGTCACACAAAAAACATTTGACTCTGCCTCACGTTATCTCAAACACATACTCGATCATGGATAATAGAAACTGTAGCAAAGGTATTGTTTTTGATATATTTATGATTATTTTTTTGATATATCAAATTTCATGTAACAAAATATTTTTTTTTGATGCATCTATAAATAAAACAATTATAAACATATCAAAAAAATGACCATTTTTGTCACACGTTGTCACCAGTGGTTTTCAGTTTTCTCAAGAACTACCTATAAGTATGACTTAATAGTTCTTTTAAGGAGTTTATAGTCTTTTTCCGAAGGTAAGACTGTTGTTTCATCATTTTTTGAAGGTACCACTGATTCAATTATTTTAGAAAGGGAATCAGACCTTTCATTTAATTTATTCTAATATCTTTTCAAGTTCGTCATCATCTTTAATATTAATATTCATTTATTAATCATCTTTTAATTTTATCGACTTTAACTATTATTTCCAATTATCCAGGTTGATTATTATTCCAAGTTCAGGGTTTATTTTAATAGTTTATAATTAATTTCATTAACTCAGGAATAATAACATTATACAATTATACAATCA